AGGTGAGAACTATGAGTCTGTGAGAGACTTGTTGGAGTGTTCGAGTTTGTGCCAAAGAAGGCTAACGAGTAGGGAACATAGGCCCCTTCCTTGCTAACACAAAACAGATAAAAGAGTATTGAGCGATCAGACGCCCAATTTTAGCAAACATTTACGGACTCACTCACTCACTCATCTTTGATTCACGCACTCTCAAGACCCCACTCTCAACACTTTCCTCTCATATTCGCCTGTCCCCTTGCAACTTGGGGTAGGTGATGATGAGTAGAGTAAGATGCCATTTCAATGGCCTTTTAGGGTTGTGGATGATTGTGCATCATGTTGATGAAGAAATCAAGATTGGCTGGATTTGGGTGATTGATTTATTGGGTGGTTGTTGGGATTGAGATGATGAATTCTACGGGTGTTAAAGTTAGAGGACGTTTTTTCGGTGAATAAGGATGTATGATAGCCTAAGTGGTTAAGATGTTGGACACGTTTGGACAAGATTTTAGGTTTAAACCTACCCTTCAAACCAAAATATCGCTTAGGGACACTCTTTTTTCACCTTCTTATAAAGAGAAAGTTAAAGTGAGAGAGAGAGTTTCGATTGTGCACTTGAGATTATGGCCGTCGAACCATGAACTCAGATCAATTCGATTGAACGCGTTCGATTAATATGAAGCGAACCTAAAATCATGATATCTACGTGTGTTTTTTTACTGCCCTCTTATCCTCTCACTTTTTGCGCCTAATTTGATGTTGATCGAGTTGGTGATCTTCTTAACAATTGTCGGTCTATGTACTATGAAGGGAACTTGTGCCTCTTATCCTCTCACACCATGAGTCTAATTTGGTCGCTGATTGATCAAGGTTGGTAATCTTGACAATCGTCGTTTTTTTCCATCTTGACAATCTCATTTCCTGATCCTATAAAAAGTAGCAGATCATCGCCATATTATCGCTTGTAGTATGAGACCCAGTTGACTGACATGCGCCTTCGATAATCCGCTACTCGTGTTCGCTAATCGAAACATATAGCGATGGACCCACCACACTTCATGAATTCATAATCGAACCAGTTTTTTTTAGGGCAAATATTTATGGACCGTCCTAGGAGCGGCGAGGACCATGACCGTCATCCTCCCCGTCCCGGCGCCATGAAATGGTTGTTGCTTTCGCCTGTCTATTTTATTGCACGTGTTGACAGTGATTATACCAATTTAATTAAGTTGCAATTTACTATTATTCTTCCCTTTTTCAATAAAGAAAAAATGTCGCTTTGAAAATGATGTTCACTCTTAAATAAATAATTTTCTTAAACTATTGCTCTGAAAATGATATTTGGATTTTATAGAAAAATAAAATGATTGTACTTGTGGTGATTAATTAAATACTAACCCAGTCATCGAATTAATTAAGGCTAAACAACTTGCCAATTTGGTATACTGCAAAACAATCCCAGGCTAGCTAGGAGGATGCCATCCTTCATAACAAATATCAGCAATTGAAACATTTTTCTTAAATGTTAACCGATACAGATTACATAATGAATTTCTTGTATCGTTCATAAAATATTGAAAGTCTTCGAATTCCAAACTCGAAAGTGAGTTTCACTAACTTCCAGTGTCAAGTTTTGCTAATATGATTAGTGAGAAAATTAAGGATATATATGTGGTGCAAGTGTTGACTGTTGAGTGGGAGTTACAGGAAACTCGAATGTGTAAATATTTTCATGAACGAATTTATCATTTCTATCGTTATCAAACCACCTTAACTACAATATTATACCATGTCAAAATTCAAATTTAATCAAAACTATTTATCATTTTCCAAATGCACTAGCTAGTCCAACATCCTTTTCACGACAATGACATGTGAAAAAAAGAAGATGAAAACCCATTATTTAGAAAGATGATAATGGATGAGTTAATTTGATCTAATGGTGCAAGTATTTTCGAAACGATGCATTTTTGTGAGGCAATTGGGTCAATTGCATCATTCCAGAAATCCATCATTCAAATAACCCCTGCTTCACGGATTTGTTGAGGAATTTGAATCCCGAGTGAACAATAGATTCTTTCAAATTCATTATAATAATGAATCCATCATAACCAAATCTAAAAAATTTCAAAATCCAAATTTTCCAAAAAAAACATCAATTTTCAAATCTATCAAGCAAACCCGCCTAGAAGTAGAACTTAAAATTTCAACCTCTTTTAATAGTCGCTTTTTAATTAATTTATTCTTTACTATGAGCTAGGTAGCTCCTTAGTCAAATTCACAGATTACCAATCAATCTATTCCGATAGACGCTTATGTTCCCACCATTATTAATCTGTTCCCCCTTCCCGATAGCTCCATTTTAGCATCAAATTATTAGTACTAATCCATCAAGGGTTACCTCTTAATTATTAGTCACCACATCACTTCTTTGAGTCAATTTCAATTACGTATTTTCATTGATCCGTTTTGAGTAAATTTCAATTACCTGCCATCCAAATTTTTTGCTGGCAAACGAAGCAATTTGGTACAATTGTCTCAAAAGGAGACAATTATATCAAATTGATCCGTTACAATTACTCATCCAAACCACCCTAGTTTACTGTTGGCGAGATTCTATCACAAAAGGTAGACTGCTCCCCGGTTACGTCAATTGATCAAATTGACTCATTTCTAGATTGAGCCATCCAAACGACCCCTAGAAGAAATGATACTATTTTTCATGACGGTATCTTGAGGTATATTTTTGAGATGATTCTAGTTGTTATGAAACGAACGATCTGAACATTTTGATCTCGTTGTAACACGTCAAAAGGATTTTCTCGAAAAAGATAGATTATGGTAATAAAATTGAGATGACACTGTACCAAATTTCATGTCTTAGAGGCTGGCTAGCTACTCGTCATTCATGGTATAATTTGTCAACATAAGACCCACCACATCAAAATAAAGTTTGAAATATCTTTCAACTCAACTACCCTTAAAGAGAAAAGACAATCAAAATTTGTGACGGGATATTGCCAACAATAAACTAGATGAAAATTGATCCATAATACAGTTTCTTTTGATATGTACCTCAATGCATATGTTCGAGATGATCCCGGTTTTTATGATTACTCAACAAAGTTATAAAAAAACATATGGTCCGGATATTCGTTCCCATTACCACCCGTTAACAGAGTTTGACAGAAACGGATAGTTTATATAATCGAAATTGAGATGACACGGTACCAAATTTCATGTTTTAGAGCCTAACTATCTACTCCTTGTTTATAGTACGATCCGTCAACATGAGATCCACCACATCAAAATAAATCTGAAATCTCTCGACTCAACCACCGAAAACGAGAAAAGTTTGGTTGAATTTTGTAACAAGATCTTACCATTGACAATAAACGTCGTAAGAAAACTCATCCACGATACAATTTCTTATATGATGTGTAGTACCTCAATGCATCCGTCTGAGTCTATCCTTGTTTTGATGATTATTCGACAAAGTTATGAAACACAAACGGTCCAGACATTCGATCCTGTCGCCACCCGTCGAAAAAGTTTTTATTTTTTGAAAAACGAAATAGTATGAGAATCGAAATCGAGATGACATCATACCAAATTCCATGTCCTCTCCCCCCACTTCAATAATGATCTCTTGGGAGAGAGCTAAGCTTATGGCCTCAACGAAGAAAAAAATTAATAGCAGCAGAGAGGGGGGAAAAAAAAAAAAGTTGCAGCAAAAGGACATCAGACTCTGCTGCTCCTTTTCTTTTCCACCATTATCGACCTTCGATCCTCCACCCCACAAAATTTTTGCTTGTTTTGGGTCATCACCAGAGGATTCCCCACGATCTTCTTTTGGGTAGAAAAGGGAAAGCCAATCAGTGCCCTTGGCAGCAGGCCGTGCAGTGAAAAAAAAGAAAAGATACACAGAAAAAACAATATCTCTGCTGCAAAAAAAAAATTAACAGTGTTCATCATTTCCCATCCTAAGAACTTGTTCTGTTGTCAAGACAGGTTTTCTATGTGGATCTTCAATCCCAAAAACAACTCTTTCTGTCTGTCCTTTGAGGAGGTGGAGCCATATGTAGTTGAGGGGATCTAAGACTCGATCTTATTCGATGTTTGGTATGAGGTTATAATTCGTGCGTGAATATTTTGGTATCAAATAATAAAAAGTGGGTAGGATAGTAGAGTACCATCGATCCAACCACTTCATATTTCTCTCTACCAGTCAATTTTTTAGGTCGGTTACCTGGAAAGAGCAAAATTAATATCATTAACCACAAAATGTAAGATTCAAAGAAACTGTGGTACGTTTTTACTTTAGTCTAGTACAATTGGTATTCACATAGTATTGTAACATTTGACTCAAGAAGTCAGTCTTCATGGTCCAGTCATAATAATACTTATGAACATATCACATGATCACTGAATCACCCACTCAGTCTCCTTTCATTTCTCAATATCGTTGGAGGATCCAACGATTACAATGCCCGTTTCTCACGATCTCACGACCCACTTGTGTTCTGGCACGTGCTGATAATTGGATCCCCACATCATCATGCTAACTTAGACCGATGATTAATAATCATTGAAACCCATTTATGAGTCAACATGGAAGCTTAATTATGCTACACACCATGAAACAAAACCGAATTATTGTGTCACCTTCATTCCAGCCTTGTGGAAGCCCAACTTCCAACTTGCAGCTGGCTTCCTCCATCATTGGAACAATCGACAACCTGTCATTCGTTTTTTGTCTCATGATCCGACCTCGGAAAGTCCGAAAACAACGCCATTACTGTTACCTGTCATCTGGTCAACTTCTCTAATGATCAGTTTCTGCTTAACCATATTCTTCTGGAAGTTTAGGATGTGAATCATGACCCTCGATTCGGTTAACAATGGGCTTCGATACATTTAAGCCCATTTAGAAATGGGCCGACCCGGGAACGGGGAATCCCACGCGGGCCCATTTTTACTTCATTACTTCGATCGAGTTGTGAACTGGACTGCGAAGGACAAATTGGTGTCCAGAAAAAAAAGCAAAACTCGTTCCACTGGCTACTAGAAGAGGAGGAGCTGCGGACGACCGCCCCCGCTACCGGCGGAAGGTTTCCGGCGAACCCGTGCGGCAGCAGCCCCAATTCGGGCCGAGACATTCCGGTACGATGACGGTGGACGACGTCAACTCCATATACGTCGGAGGGCTTCCTTACAGCGCCACCGAAGAGACCCTTCGCAGGGTCTTCAGTTTCTACGGCGCCATCGTCGCCGTCAAGGTCTTCTCCCTCTGCTACCTCTTCCGATTCTATCCCCCAGAGAATTTTGTACTGCCCCATTAATTATTCGCCTTTTGTTACTGTATGAAAGGAATTTGATCAGGGAGACGGATAAAATTTGTTTGAAGTTAAGTTGTAGAACAAGATGTCTCGTTGCTGCTTAGGGTTTAACTGACATTCATTGCTGCTAGAGTAGTGACGATGAACGGTGTTTGGGGGGAGCAGTTTTTCCCCCAGAGCTGGTGTTTTCTCTCATCATCTTGATGAAATGGAGGAGTAGGGTTTTGAATTTGAGATTGGGACTGTTTTCCTTGACTGCAGATTATCAATGACCGTGCGACAAGGGGGAAATGCTATGGCTTTGTTACTTTCAGGAATCCCAGATCAGTGTTTGGCGCTATTGATGATATGAATGGCAAGGTACCGTCTTTCCTCTTTCTGTTTTTTTTAGCAGTCGTCGTCGCGTTGATACTGTTTAGCTTGGCTTGAACATTTTGAACTTCTGTCTTGCGAATAGCCTATTGATGGAAGACCGGTGAGAGTGAACAGCGTAACGACGAGAGGAAGAGCAAATTTTGGCAGGGAACAATTCCGACATGATGTAGAGAGGAGAATGGATTGGGAAAGGAATAGAGACCGAGAAAGGGATTATGATGATGTTGATGATAGGGACAGATATCATGAGCAATACAGTGACAGGTCAAGAGAACATGATCGGTCCTGGGGTCCTGAGGGGGATAGAGAAAGAGAATATGAACATCTGCATGAGCATGAGCATGAGCATGATCGTTCTGGGGATGGATACATGGATAGAGATCGAATCCAAGACAGAGTCGAATCTGAACAAGACCCTGGTAGAGATGTTGGGTGGAACTGGGAAAGAGGCCGTGATTCAGGTTCAATAGGCAGGGAGGTGGATGGAAGCAATGATGATGATAGAATTGTTGACAAGGATCAGCTCTCAAGGAAGCCAAATGGGTAAGATCACTAGTCCTATTTTGACCATTTACTGTTACTCTGGAGAAATGGAAGAAGTGCGGGTATTGTGGTCACTTGGTTTTAAACTAGACATCTTAGGTTTCGTTCAAGAATTTCTTTCTGGTATTACGTTACAGACTTTCAGCACGCATCTCTTGTTGGAATAATGAGAATAGCATGCATCTTTCATGGAAGCTTACAATATAGAGGATTTTCACCCCCCGAAATGAATACATGAGCTCCAGACTCTTATGCATGAATCTGATAATAAAAACACAAGTTGGAAGCTGAATACAAAGAGGGTAGTGGAGCTTCATATATCATACTGGCCTGCAAATGTTAATACACTGGAACAGTTCTGCCTGACAAATGCTTAACATTTCTTATGTGGTGCATACATGCTCCTTTATTGACAATATATTGGTTGAACTCATCTCATGAAAAAATAGTTCAAGTGACGCTCTCCTTTCATGTTCTTTGGCAGTTCAACGTACAACGACAGGTCTACCAGGGATATTTCATCTGAGCTTGGTGATGATTATGATGATGATGAGGTAAGCATTGGCCATGCTCAATCTGCAACCTGTTCATACTTGGAAAATAAGCATTTTGGTTTCTAATTCTTATCGTTTGCTATTTGTTGAAATTAGCTGAAAGTACAGCTTGAGAGATCAATCCAGAGACATGACGATCTGAAAAAGGAGGTTGTTCTCTAACTCATTAGTAAATCACTATAATTCATTGAGGATAGTTTGTTGTCTTTCCAGAACCATGTGATTTTTTATATGGACACCATTGACGTAATTTAAATGATTTACTTGGACGTTGCTGTAAGTTTCCATAAGATTGTTAGAGTCAGTGGCTGTCTCTTACAACTGTTTGATTAGAAATGTGAAGCCAGTTGAAGTTATTTGTATGACCCACAGAGAATTGCATACCAAATTTAAGAGTTCTGTTTCTGTAACTTTCTTATGCTTCTGTCCTGAATTTGATTGCTTAAAGCATGCTAGAACCTCTAACAATTTGCTGAACTTCAATCCTTCTGCTGTTGAGTTTGGTTGCATTTCTTGTTTCCGTTTCCCTTTCCTTCTATTTACTTCTCTTTATAAAACAAAGGGATTGCTAAAAGAAACTATCATTCCTTCAGGTTTCCTTAATGGAAGGAAGGTTAGAAGACAAACAAGAACTTGTGTCTGGCTTGCAGAGAAAAGCTAAGGTACTTCCTCACTCACTAAGCTACTTCACACCTTTTGCTTCCGTGCTTAGAATCAATTGATGATTTCAGAAACTGGAAGATGCATTGGTTGGTGCCAAAAGGCGCACATCCCAGCGGAAGGCACAGTTGGCCAAGGTAACAGCCACAGGTTCTCAGCTGTCTTTGAGAAACTCTTATATCATTGATCTTATGTAGATGGTTGCATTCATGTGGCTATTGTATGCAGCTCCACAAGTGTTACATGCAAATGAAGGAATATACTGAAAGACTTAAAAGCACCGAACATGAGCTTCAGGTACGCTGTATGAAAACCCCTTATGCTCTCCCGTCTTTGCTAATTACACAACACTAAATTCGCTAGCCTTTCTTTGCAGACTCTTGTTGACTCAACACTGATAGAAAGTGATGCTGGTGGGGAAGTTGAGTATTGAGATGGATTCCGGTTTTAAACTACCCAACATCCTCTGTTTGTGGTGGAACTGAGCAAGAAAGTCCACACTGCAAACGGGAAGAAAACTATGGCTATCATTATTATCAGCAGATGTATGCAATGTTGCTGCTGTCCCTACTTTATGAGAGATGTTGTTGAATCTGCTTTGTACTAAGTAGGGATTGCTAGAATTTGTAATGGAAAAGAGTTTCTCTGTCGCACTTGCACAGTGTGAATTCCCATCTGAAACTTTGTTCAAAGCAAGTTGCTTTGGATCAAACTTGAGCACAAAGGCAGAAAAAGTGGTTTTACGAAAGCTTGTGTGTGTGGGAGAGAAAGAGGGTTTAGAGAATAAGTTGGAAAGAATACTAACTGCATCAGATGCTTTCGGCTTTCTTTACCTGAACCCTGTTTTCTTAACTTTGGTTGGATGGAGGGCATAATGGGAAGACAAAGCAAAACAAACCAACCTGCTTAGATTTACAGATATGGTCATCTTCCTGACCATAATCATATCTGCTGTACTCTCTTTCACTGTAATGAGAAAAGCCTGCAACTTTCATATCCATACTAGAACTAAAAACCTCTCCTTTTTCTCTCTTCCTGACCACGCTGCAGAATGTACAAGGGGCATATATGTCCATCAACATCGAGGCATTAGAAGGAAATGAATTATGTAACGATTAATTGGGTGGCTGGAGGTGAAACAATAACAATATTTAGGCACTAAAATGGGAAGTTAGGCGATGATTACACAACGAACTCCGAATTCCATCTAAATTAAAAACCCTAAACCCTAAAAAGTAGGAAATGAATTATGTAACGATTTTCTGTTTGGGTTAAAATTTGAGAGTGATTTCACTCCGATCACATTCATCTCCATTCTCCCTCAACGCAGCCAGCCCTTTCCCGCCGCCGGCGGCGGCGATATTGTCGCCGCTCTCCGCTGCCTTCCAGCTGCTGCTGTCCGACTTCCCATCCTCCTCGATGCTCTCCGACCTCTCTCCCGCGGCGGCTGCTCGGTCGTCGGACTCCGGGCCGGAGCTATGCCCCCGGGACGACGTCGTCTTGTACACGTGGACCTGGTGGTGATGATGCTGCTGAAACGCCGCGTGGTGGTGGTGGTGGTGCGGCGGAGGGGGGATCGGCATTCCACCGGCGGCGACGTAGTAGTCCTGTGCGGCGGAGTTCGGGGCGGCGCAGAAGTGGTGTGGAGGCGCGTGGGCGGTGGCGGCGCCGTAGAGCGTCGGGTGTCCGCCGTGTCCGGCGGCGGCAGCGTACTCCGGTGGGACCCAGATCCCGCCTAGGACCACGAGCTGCGGCCCTGGCCCACCTGGCGCCTGTGGGCTTGGGCTTGGGCTCGGTCTCCTTGTGTGCAGCCTATATTTCTGTGATCAGAAAAAAACAAAAACAAAAGAGATAAAGATCATTATGAAGAAGATCTCTCTTTGGGTCCAAACAAACCGACAAAACAGAAATGGTCTCTGTTCTTCTTTTCCTCTGCAGCTGTTCAGTTCAGTCCCATTTGTCAGGTTAACTATGTTTTCTGTACTGCTTACAATTTGTACATAGTATATTGTGGGAGAATTGATAAGAAAATAAAGAATACACAGATTTATACGTTTTTATTTATGTTAGCTAATTCACAAACACGAAATATGAGTTTCACTATATTTGGAGGTATATATTACAGAGATCGAAGCTAAATATAACACCAATCTGTGTTCAAAACATAACAACATGCTATACACTTGTATTGCAAAAACTTACTGTCCTATTTCCGTAAAAATGGTGTTAACCCATTTAACCTAAGCTACATAATTTGCTTAATCATGATTAAAGGCTTCTTCTTTGGGCACAAACAAACATGCTCAAAGTATAATTAGAGAGAGAGGGAAGAAGAAGGAAGGGAGTGAATGGTACCTGGAGATGGCTTTTCACTTCATCATTAGTCAAACCGTCAACCTTCATCAGTTCCCTGATTTGCTTTGGAGTCGCCACTACACAACAACCAAAAACAAAATTAGTCATTAACTACTCATAACAACAAATAAATAAATAAAAAAGATTGGGCAATCATTACTATTTACTATACACAATCTAGCACGAAACCAAATCAACCAATTATGAAATTTCTTAACCGATTAACATCAAAGTTACAATCTTTTGGTCGCCTACCTTGAGACCCACCAAGCATTTGAAGAGCATTCACAAATCTCCTGTGCAAATCAGGCGACCAACACCTCCTCGCCTTCCTATGATTCTGACCACCACTACCACCGTTGTTGTTGTTATTGTCGCCGCCATTCGATCCATTAACGTTACTGTTCACTGCCCCGACAGCTTGTAGATCGGGAGGTTGATTACCACCTCTTTTGTCACTATCCTCGTGACGATAATCATGATGGTTATTGTTGTTAACATCCTCTGTTGTTGATCCAACGGCTGAAGCAAGTGCCAGAGTTGGAGCTTCATCCAGTCCGAATTTCGGGCTAACGTTGAAACCCATCATCATCATCGTCGTCTGATGATGATGATGATGGGTTTCGCGGGTTTGGTCTTTTGGTGGAGGCAGAGGCTTGGTCTCTTGGCTCCATAGCTGAGCCGTCGTCATCCAATTCGCCTTGTTGTCCGTGTTGCTGCCACATCCCTTGATCTCTAACGAGGAAGCCGATTCGGGTGGTGGTGGTAAAGATGAGTTTTTTAGTGGTATGAATTCCTCGAGAACTACTGTTGGCTGGTGATGTTGGTGGTGGCTGCCTTTGTATGCTTGAAGCTGCTGCCTTGAGCTCTCCATGGCTGCGGGGGAGGATGAGATCATGATTTTGGAGAAGAATTGGCATCAAAGATTGTAACTTTATGTTGAAATGAATGAAATGGCGATGAGAACATGATTTTGGAGAAGAAATGGCATCAAAGATTGTAACTTTATGTTGAAATGAATGAAATGGCGATGAGAACATGATTTTGGAGAAGAAATGGCATCAAAGATTGTAACTTTATGTTGAAATGAATGAAATGGGATGTGGGTTTTTTCCTTTTTGTTTTTTTGTTTTTGATCAATTGCTATTACCATTGGTGAGGAGTTGCATGCAGAGTGGGAGCTCTCTCTTGAAAGCGTCGATCTTCAGCCTCTCTTCCTCGAGCCGGGACAGGAATTCCTCCAGCTTTTGTGGGTTCTGATGATGATGATCCTGATGAGTGATGATTTGGTCGGAGGAGAAGCATCTCAGAAGCAAAGAATGATGGGTGTGGGGTTTGCAATCCAAGCTCAGCTCAGAAGAAGAAGAAGATGCCATTTGATATAGATTGTCACAAATCTTTGGTTCAACAAGGTAATGAGAGATGGGGAGTTTGAAGCTATAGAGGGGGAAATGGGCAAAGAGAACAAAAGATTTGGTTTTTGTGGCTTGTTAGAGCAGAGGAGGGAGAGGGGGAGGTTCAAGAAGGGAATAAAGTAGCTATGTGGGAATTTATAGAGAGAAAGGGAAAAGGAAAGGAGTTAAAGAGGGAGGGAGGGGGATAAAGAGGGATGGTAACTTCTTGCAAAAAAGAAGCGAAGCTGAGAAAAGAAAAGGAGGGCAAAAAAGCCATAAAACTGAAATTTGGTGGTGAGAGAGAAGGTTGAAGGTGGCTATTCTCTGGCTGAGAGGCTTCTGGTCTCTGACAGTGTAAGATAAGGGTGGTTTCATGTGCTCTGTCCCCTTTTGTTTTACCCTTTTGCAAACTCTCTTTTTTTTTTTACTGTGTTTTCCAGTCTTAGGATTGTTTGTTGATCATAAGTGGTTAAAAGAGCTGTGGTTTTTTTGTTTTTGGTTTTCATTGAATGAACTTGTAGTGTGCATTGGATTCTCTTGGTCTACGTTTGCATTGCATGGCATGGCTTTGAAGCCCACGTGACATTCTTCAAATGGCCCTTCTTCTCTCACACAAACAAAGACCATTCAAAAGAGACCAAGGAATAGTTTTCTATCACTCCAATGTGTGGGGGGATCATCAAGAATAACAATTGTATTGTGAGTTTCTGTGAGTTTTGGGGGGAACTTTGGTGACCACCTTAACAAAGTAATGAACTAAAATGAACAAAGGGAGGAGTATTGGGAAATTTTCTTATAGGTCACACTTAGAGTGATCATATATCTTGTACCCATATAGATGGTTTAATTTGTTCTCATAGATTAATTGTTTGGTATTCATGGCGTAGAGGTAAATCTTCAACGTATGTATCAAGTTTTTCGTCATAAGGAAACTGGGTATACAGGTCATAGCACGAAGTCATGATTTAGAATGAAGTTGGGTTAAAAATAAAAATAAAATATTTTTTTTCATCGATTGATAATGTAACTTGTATCCATAGATGGTTTGTTCTCGTGGATTCGGGTATTCATGGTGTTGAGGTAAATCTTCAACTTATGTATCAAGTTTTCGTCATAAAAAAAATGGTATATAAGTTATGTGTTGAAAGCATGATTAAGGATGAAGATGGTTACATAAATCATACCATCTTATTAGGATTGGATCTAAATCTCACACGAGAGCGGCTAACAATAGTTTTTCATCCTAACACTTTTGCATTATTTTCTCAACATACAGATACACACTATAACCTCAAATAAAATACAAACAAGAACGTGCAACCCCTTTCGAACTACACGTAACTCCATCCCTGACATGGTCATAAGTAAAAAAAAAAATCCAAGGAGTCATTTGGTTTTGCCGTTTTGGTGATTGTTTGCTTGGGATAGTTACAATGCATGTATTGTCCATAATGCATTATTTTGTTGAATTTTCTGCACAAACAATGCATTGTTTGCTTGATGATGTGATGGAAACTATAACTCAAAATGAGTGATAGTACTATCTCTATTAAAACTTGAGATTGTTGAGATAGTTTTGTGGAGATTGTTGGGTTCATTTTTTGTTCCAAGTATACCCCTAGTTATATATATATTTTCTCATAAAAGCAAGGGCAAAAATGATTTTTCTCACAAAAAGTAATATAACATGTTGAATACTAAAAGAACTATCACCAAAACCAAACAATGTAAAGAACATTAATTACATCATTTTCCTTAATTACATGTATATTACAATGCATGCATTGACCACAATACATTGATTTAAGTATCACCAAAACCAAACGACCCCAAGTTTCCAATGCATGACTTAGCTTGATTCTTCGGATTGTGTGAGTTTAGGCATATGTACGTCGGAATATTACTGGTGGCCGACTATAGTATCTACTCATGTGAGAAACATAACTAAAACCCACTTCTAGTAATAAAATGTGTGACTATCGTATCTACTCATGTGAGCAACCTTACTATCGTACTTGGGGCTCGTCCTTATTGTGAACTAGCATTGGGCCCGGCCGTTGGCCGGATTAGCTTTTTTAGACAATTCAGATTAGCTGCTATTGTTGTTAAAATGTTCTCTTACTTGTACATAAACACCATATAAAAATGAAGACACTACTACTTGATGACCCTTGGCAAGGAAGCAACCTTTTGGCTGCTACATCATTACCACGATCAATTTCGAGATGTTTCTGCCCTGGACATGCAGAAGCTGGCAGTTGGTGTTAAGTGACACAAATGCAAGTTGCTGGCATAAAGAACACGGACAGATGCAAGGTGCAGTAGTAATAAACACACATAAAGCCTTCTATTTTGAACTTCAAATCCCATTTTCATTGGACATCGACTGCCAAAACTTTATACAATTTAAAAGTCTAAATTTGATAATTACCAAACCATTCACAAACGCAATATGCTTCTATCCAAAGGTGACACAGCTACTACATGCTCCCAAGAAAAACACAGAAAATCAAATTTGTTGTTGTGATAAATAAAACTATGTATAATATAAATTTTAAAACTGATAAGAACCAAACCATTCACAAACACCCCATAGTCTGAAAAACACAACTACTCATGATATCCAAGCTTCTAAGTGAACAGCCTGCACCATTCTATTAAGCACCATCATCGTTGTCTCCATCTCATAAACATGAAGTAGTCTTGGTGTCATTTACAATTTGACCAGATGGAGTCCCAACACAGAGGCCAGTTCATTGGATCCATGTAAGACAAAAATAAGGAAGGGAATGTAGAAATAAGAAGCAAAAGTGAAGACAAATACTAAATAACCTCTGACTAAGAATGAGGCTTCAGGTTGCAGCATCATAATAGTCAAAAATTGAGGTTCCTGCTGCCACAAACAACAAATGCAGTATGCCCCTATCCAAAAGTAACACAAATTCTACACGATGCCAAGAAAAACACAAAAAATCAAACTTGTAGCAGTGACAAACACATGAGCTTTAAACTGGTGATATAACAAACTCACACAAATACATGATATTTTAACTTGAATAACGATTGTCTTTGGAAAATGATAAAGCAAACCATATACAATTTAAAAGTTCAAATGCTGTAAAAACCAAATCATTCATAAACATCTCATAGATTGGAAATCACATTAATAAAATACAGTTCACAACGTGGCCCTTAACTACACAAAGCTTCCAGGCTCCAACAATACTACTTCACTTCCTTAGGGTCATAGTTGTCCCCATGCTTCCTTTTGTGTCTAGTTAAGGTTTTTCCTCAAAAAACCTCGGGACTTGGCTTAGTCCTGCTGGTTTCCTCAAGATAGGAGCTGCACTTATGTGGAGATGAGTTTGACCTTACTAAAATTGAACTTTATTCCTCTAATACAGGATCACTATGATTTGATGCAAAATGGAAAAGCCAAGAAAGGAAGAAGTTGATTCCAACTAATTGCTCAACAGTTTCAAAGTTTGAACGCATACCCAAATAAAGATTGCCGGTGGGAGCAAGATGCACCGACAGACAACCACCGAGAGCAGGATTTGATGGAGACAGTCGTCCTAGACTCAAATACACCAAACAATCAATAGTGATATCCAGCCCACTTGCAAGTCAGAGCACCCAACAACAAACACACCACAGCTCGGAGAAGTGAAAGCGGCAGATTGAGTGCGATTTGAAGATATGTTTCCCGACCTGTAGCTTGAAGAGTTGAGCAGACCAAGGGCTGGAATAACTTCGAATTTGAAAATCGGCACCAAAGAAAGACGGTCAGAAGGATTTCGTTGGGAAGAATGCGGCAGATTTTGCGTCGCTTTCCACCAACAAACACACCCAAGTTCGGAAAAGGTTTTGGGATGCAATACCTGGGCGATTTGGAGTAGTAATCCCGCCCTGTAGCTTCAAAACATGAACAGAGAAAGGCCCAGCATAGCTTCGATTTTCCGATTCGGCGCCAAAGAAGGACGGGAAGCAGGATTTCGTTGGGGAAGACGGGCACAGAATTTCGTCTACAGATCGAGGGCGTTTTGGAGTAGTAATCCCATCCTATAGCTTCAAAATATGCGCACAGAAAGGGCCGGCATAACCACGATTTTCCGATTCAGCGCCAAAGAAGGACGGGAAGAAGGATTTCGTTGGGGAAGAGCGAAGACGGCTACAGAATAGCGTCGCTTTCCGGTTTCAATTTGGAAGACGGCGAGCAAGACAGCGAGGGTGTGGAATTGACTAAAGTGACCCTCCGAACTCTGCGGGTTAATTAGCGGGGGATTACGTGGCAAAGCCAGCTTTTGCACATTGGCTTATAGTGTTTTGTAGATTACCGTAGATGTCTCTTTAGTAACCAACCAATCATATATATTCTACGCAAGTACTATATTGCTACTATTGAATTCCTTACCGTTCTTTGCTGTCGTTTGAGATAGAAAGAACCTCTCTTTTAAGAAAGGACTAGCATATACCTTGTCTTGGATATTGAATTATTATTGTTCCATAGGTACAGCGAAATTCTTAGAGCACCAAGGAAGGTGGTGGTGGTGCTTATTCATAATCATAACAAGAGTTTAACTAATGCTAATTTACTATGAACATAGTGGTATAATTATGGGCTACATCCATGTTAATTCTCCATCTTACATAGTGAGACTTAAGTCGAGATTCTCACACATTTTTCATTTTTTTTATATAACTTTATCAATTAACATTCATCATTCACAAACCGAGAAATGGTGAGCATCATAATTCCATGTAGCATGCATTATACCCTATCTTTTTAGTTCCTAAAGTTGCAAGTGAATATTATTGTGTGTATGAGAGAGTGGGGAAAGGGAATATCTAATCCAAATACGACACTGATAATAAGAGAGAAAAAAAATATTGCCTCTAAGAAAGAATATCTGATATTCCAATTCTGTGACTCTAAATAAAATAAAATAAAATTAAGCGCCTTAAAAAGGAAAAGGAGAGCTTAATTTGTAAAGCAACACTTATTCTTTGTTCTCTTTCTTTCTATACGTCTCATATCCCATGGGGAATCTTCTTCTGCTACACTATTTACAGCTTTGTATTTTTCAATTTTTCTAATGAAATTCCCCCCTTCCTTTTCTTTTAACTTTAATGAAGTGGGTAAGATGGTAACCAAGATTCTTTCTCTATCTAGCTAGCTAATTTTACAGCATATCACATTCATAATATTGCTTATAGCTGTACTAGAGATAAATTTATTCCTTGGAAATGTACTTCTATCTTGGCATATAATGATGCTTAACTTGAAATGTTCTGGAGAAAAAAAAGATGCATTTGAGTATCAAATTCAATCACTTGAGAATTTTGGAGACTACATAAGTGAATTGACCCTCGATAATGTTCACTACGGTTTGGATGAAAGTACTGAATTCACATTGCAATTCAATTTAAAGTTAAAATTACACAGATAAAGATCGATTTTCACTCGAAAACTTAAACAGAGTGATTTATAAGTATATATTTTAAATAACTTAAATCTAAGACCAAATTAAGCCTCTCCGATCCCAATGATTGTGTCATGTGGCATTGCATGGTGGGGTTAAACATGAATTCTATGAGGAAGCAAGTATCCACAAATCAAGAATGAACATACATTTTTTTTTACATGTTCGTTCAAACAAAAGATCGGTATTTAGCTTTGAAATCCACAGTCGTCAAGATACGAATGCACACCACACTGACATCTTGATGATGAGCACCTTTCATATATGTCGAGGTGGAACTAGTTAATTATCTCAAGACTCGATTAAGCTAGCAAGTAGCATCTATCATATCGAATGTGTCATGTGGGATTAAAGTGGAAGTCTATTTGGAAGCAAGTCTCATGAAGACTAGTTTCAAACCCGCATCCACATTTCGACAATCACAAACTCTATAGTGTTGTGTTAAGATCGAACTAGTCAGTCCCAATACCTCGTAACTTAATGGGGTAATAGCGAACATTATCTTAATTATTCTGTTACAAAGATGATAGTGGAAATGAGAAAGGTCGATAAAGCTAAAAGGTGAAAGGTACGTTTTATGTGGTATGGTCATATGACTACTGACTGACTGCTCTTCTTCTGCATCGAATTCCCCATGGGTGGGAATTAGGGCAAGCAAAGAGAGATCACTGCTACATGCAACTGTGTAAAAAGAAAGTAGAAACAATGATGATGATGATGAAAACGAGAGCAAGCTAGCTAGAGCACGTCGCTTTCTGTAAATTCCAGTCTCTTGTTCTACAATACTCCAACTCTTGCCTTTTCCCAAGATTCTTCTTCTCCTCCTCCTTCATTCACCATCTCGTTTTTGCCTTTGTGTTCTTTTCCTTTTTCTTCTTTTGGTTCCTGTAATCCTTTCATAAACAGAGGTGGATCATGGGTCGGGCCGGTACCCGTTTATACCCGGATAGAAAACGAGAAAATAATTCTTCATATCTCGTAATGTTTCGGGGTCGGACAAATTGGTGTACGATCGGATGAAAATGAACGAAAAGCTAAAGGGTTGTGGGATTAGCTGTGCACACACTATATTATACATGTTCAATTTTTATTTTCTTCGGCGGAGAAATTCAAATTGTGTACTCACGAAATGGTTAAAAGATGAATGAGACCGTCTGTTGATACTCTCAAATGATCGTTCTTGTAATTAGAAAGAAATCATTTTATCGTTGATAACGAGAGTATCAAATGCCAAATGTTTATTGCACTCGTTCTTTCTACGATAATTTTTTTTTTTGAATTACGTAAGCTCAATCAATCTTGAACCAAATCAACCTGATTCGAGTATGGTAAAAGTTATAACCATCGGGTTATCTTTTGATAATCTGGCCAAAATATAGGTTAAACTGTTGTTAATTAATTAGTAGTTATCTTTTGCTTTCCTTCTTCTATAGATGGTCACTTTTGTTTACGTGGTGAAAAGCCTTAAAAGCAGAAGAAAGAACAAACGAAAGCAAAGCAAAGGAAAGATGAACAGAGTGTGCTGGGAATGGAATATCCCTTTTGTTTGTCCTTCGTTGATATCCTGGCTCTACATATATATAATAATCTTCCCTTCTTGCCCCCACCACAATCTTCCATGGGAAATAGGTCCGGGTTATCAGTCGAAACGATTTCGAACTCAAATTTTTTGATCATTCGGTCTAATCGAGTGTCAAACTCAAGGTGCATGAGTCTGTTATAATATTGATCATCACACTCTATATTCGAACCTTACTGTCAACAATCATCTTTATTTGAAAAAAAAATCATGCTTCTCGTCTGAAAATCGAAGCGGGGAAGAACAAGCTGAACTCACACATAGCGTTCATTTCGAAGTATTTGTCCAATTCAATGATCATCTCATTTCCTTCTCCCCCATGATTTTGTTCTAACCTCCATTGCTCCTATCTGATTAGTCTCCCCTCTTCGAAACTGGTGCCCCCTCCTCTCATTCTCATCAACAGACGACTTCCCAGCTAACTGTCCCAACCAAGATCAAACATGTCGATCGATCATCAACTATTCATTCCTCAAGTGGGTTCAGTGGGCTGACACAGACATGAGTTCTGGTCTTGGTTAACCGGTCAACTCAGGTTGCCGAACCCACTCCGAGACCCTATAAAACGGTTTCCTGCCTCTTTTGGAGTACCTGTCTAATCTTGTACATGTTGGTCTTTTACTATATGAACATCTTTGCTTGAATATCTCAATGTATATACACAATTGAATGAAAAGTTAGGTCATGGTATCAACCAACCATGCCTCCCATGATGAAACTTTACCATCAGAAGCTTAGCTAGATGCCCTTGGAAATTCATTGGCTGAATTTCATCCCATTAGCAAGCACATATTTTATTCCCTCTCCCAACAATTACTCCCTTTTTTTCCTTCCCCCTCCCTTTTCTCTCTTTTCATATGCACATTCAACTCAAATATTGGGCTTCACATACACACATCCTTCATATATATTCCTTGCCCATGCATTTACAAAAGGGAGATACTTCCAAAACAAGGAGTAAAAAATCAAAGTTAGCCCAACTTGAAGTTGGATATTTTTAATAAAATATTAAAAATAGAGAGTAGAAACTAAGGGCTCTCAGAAAGATTTTTAATATCATTCATTAATGTCATGAGATAGTGGAATTTGGCCTCCTTGTTGGTATACAAGAATCAAAATTTTAAATTATTTTGCTGTCCTTTTTTTTTTTTTTTTGTATTGGTGAAATATTTGGTGACTAATTTAACACCATGCTATTTACAGCCACACAAAAAAAAGAAGATTAAGAAATACTTTACCTAATTGTAATGAGCTCATAGACCTTTTTTTTTTATCATTTATGATTATTTAAAAGACATAGTTTTGTATAGTGAATTAATGTCTAAGCATTTTCTTCTTAGAGAATTTCCAACAACCCATAGCACTAGATGATTGTATGAAAAAAAAAACAAAAAAGGAACTTTACTAAACATATGAAAAAGCCCCTTTCAATGTGATTCTGTAAAGCAAATAGCTATAGACCGAATCAAACTAAAGCGCAAACACACATACGAGAACGATTCCGAAACGGGTTGGCTAGTAATTATGATTAGGTACACACATGTCTTGTTCAAACCAAATGAGAGAAAAACAAAGACGATTCTATTCTCTCCCCTTTGGAATCCAATTATCTATAGCCAATGCATCTTCTCAATATGGGAACGTTTTCCTTCTTTGTTGGTGGATGGAATATTTGGGGCCGAGTCTTCTCTATATGGGCCTGTAACACACTTACCAAGCCCGAGAGCAAGAAGCCCACCCGAAAAGCCCATAAAATTCTAGTCCTACTCCTATCTAAAACCAGCGCCAATCCTCCTTTTCTCCACCTAATTCCCCTCTTTTCTTTCCTTCATCGCAAATCTGGTTTCCGATTGCCGGAGAAATGAGCTACCAGAAGTTCCCCAGCGATCCGTATCCTCCTCCTGCTCCTCACGGTAAATTCGAATTCAATACCTCTGTTTTCCCCCACCCAATTTTTATCCTCCTTGTAATCTTCCAGCTTCCATTAAACCTGACATGGGTTTTTTTTTCTTCTTCCATCAACAGGGGACGCGCCACCGTACCCGCCGCCGCAAGTCTATCCACCACCGCAGTACGAGACCGAAGGATACCCGCCTCCGCCGCCCCGACCCGGATACCCTCCTCAGTACCCGCCACCGCGTCCACCTCAGCATCAGCACCGGTACGATGGCTACCAAGGGTATTTCTCCGCGCCGGGGTATCCCGCGCAGCCGCCGCCGCCCCGTCATCCTCCGCCCAATCAATACCAGAACTACCAGAGCTATGACCACCACCACCACCACTATAATAACGACGATTCCGAAGCTTCGTTCCTCCGCGGCTGGTACGTCCTTTTTTTCGCCCACCCACCAAATAACGTTTGTCTTCAAATTGGAAGGTTTGATTGAATTAGGGGGTTCGCCGATTGTGACTTGGGCTGATCCTCTGGATGATTTCTGCGGTCAGTGGTTTTGAGGGTTGCCTTTTCTTGATCCAGAAAGTTGACTTATCAAAATGTTTGCGAGGTTGACTTTAGAATTACGGTAGTGTTTGGATCGTGGGAGGACTAGGTAGGTGGTTAAAAGGGTAGAGTTTTGGATCGTTCTGTGACTCAAAAGATCAGTTCTTGTGAGACAGCTCCAGATGTTAATAACTAGGTCCTCTGCAGAAATTGGTCCTGCAGAACGTGATGGCGACGCGGCCTTCTGCTGTGTTGTTAAGTGATGATCTGATGGAGAAGAGCTGTAGTATAGGCAATCGAGCACTACAAAGCAAGTTGCTTAACGTGCAAGCTCAATTGGGATTACATAAAATCTACCAAGTATATGCGTAGGTTTGAATGCATTCAATCTTTTTGTTCCGCTTCTTAGCTCTCTTTTCTGCTCCTTTGTTGCCAAGTACTCTCTTTTTCTGACAACCAAGAGCATGGCACAGGGCATTTGTTATCACTCAAGATATATGAGATTATTATCAAAGGGTCCCTTGCGGTGCCACTGGTTCTCTCTTGAGACATTAGGTTCCTAGTAAACAGAGCGCAAACTGACGTAGTTACTAGCTGAAATTAATCAAAAATTCCCAAGGTTTCTGCTAATATAATTCTGGTCAGGCTCAGTTTAGCTGAAGTGGCTCATTGGTAATGGAGAGAAGCTCTTGGAGTGCTTCACAGCTGTGATTTCTGGTTTGCCCTGCATTGTACACTAACATCCTGCTCACGGACTTGACGTTTTATCAACAATTGAAAAAAGATCATGAATTAAGTAGATAAGAGTTAGTCTTATATCAATCATAATTCTGGTGGAATTTGATTGAGATAGTGGAACTTTTTGACTGGATGATATGTTGTTTGCAATGTGCAGTTTGGCTGCTGTCTGTTGCTGTTGGGTGATGGAGGAGTGCTGCTTCTGAAAACATTACTGCACCATATTGTAGTTCTCGGTCCGGCAACTACTCCTGACAGGTTGTTATAAGGTTTATGTCTGTCAAGTCGCCACCGAATTAGTATATGCTTCTATAGCACTTATCTGTAGTTGCTCTGTTCAAATGTAAAGTTGGCTCCTCACTACTGGAGAGACTTGGCTGTTTCATTCGTTGTGGTTAATAGAGATTATGGTGCTTGTGATGGGTACATTTACATGTGTAAGCTTTCTCCTGAAGAATCACCAAACTGGACTTCTCTGCTCAGAATATGAATTTACTTCCATGATTGTGCACTTGAATTCCCTTCTGGGTAATTCACCCACTTAGCTATGAAATGGATTATTTTCTTTCTTTCTTGTCTTTTCTCTACTTCTTCTTCGCCTTTTATTTTATGTCTGAAGAATAATGGCTTTCTGTTAGGGTTTCTCTTAGTTAAATACATGCACTGATGTTTTATTGCTGGCTAGATGTAGTGGGTTTTTTATTAGCAGTATTTGGATTCTCTGGGTATGCTTTATCTTGATAGAAAGAAAAATGTGTGTTGGTTCTTCTTTCAGCCTTTTGGGTTCTTCAAAGTATTTCTTTTATGTGGTCTTGATTCTCCTGCAATTCAAAGGGGAACCTTTGAGCTGTGTATAGCTAGCTCAAATCCTAGAGATGCTTATAGAGAGTATGGGAATGAGTCGTGGTAGGTAGGGGTGGGCATTGGGTGGGTCGGGTGGATTTTGACCATAAAATGCACCCACCCGCGCTTAAACGGATTGATAATTTTTAACCCACCACCCACCCACATTTAGTCTCGGGTTGGGTCGGGCGGATGGTGGATGATGCGGGTGGGTTTGTGGGTTCACCCACATCACAATGTATATAATATAAAGGAGTCAACTTGACATGATAATAGGTGAAGAGAATCATCGAGGGAAACAAGAAGTTGAAATATGACGAAAAATTTCGAATTAGTTCTTAAATTGGATAGAAATTCTATTATGAAAGAGTTTTCTACAGATTGAGACGATTATTAGGTGCAAGGAACTAAGAAAAATAATTCCACAAAGGAAAGAGCGGTGATCTAGGCACAAGAATTAGAAGAAAAAGTAAAGGGAAGAAGAGGGGATCTCTATTTGGAAGGTTGGCTTTGAGGTTCAAACTCCAGGAGTAGTCCGAATTTATATCTAACGTCTCCACTCTCCTCTCTCTAGCGCCAACGACTTTGATCTTTTTGTTGTTGGGTTGAGCGGGTCACCCGCACACTCACCCACAACCCACCCACCACCCGGCGGATGGCTCCCAGCGCAACCCGTCACCCACCCACAGACCCATCCACTTAACAAAATTCGGGTCAAATGCGGGTGGGTCGGCCCAAACCCGCGGATGATCCGCCCGCATGCCCAGCCCTAGTGGTAGGTATCGTTAATTTTCATAAATTGTTTGCTCTCAATAACTCGATGTATTTGGAGAGCATAAATTTATGAATCTTATACAACTTCCTTATACATCCCCTCATATAAGGGCTTGCACAGGTCTAACCATATGTTATGCTTAGATCAAAAAGTTAATATTGATGGTCATGGAGATTCAAATTTCAAACACACGATCACTTGACAAAATCAGCTCTAATACCATGTTATAAACCGTTCGATCTCATAATTCGGAGAAGGTTAACTATGGGATACATTAATCACATTGCTAGAGATGTGGTTTATATTAGAGTAAAGTATATAATAGAGCCCTATTATTACTTGAATGATAATCCAAGCTAAATATGAAACAGTAGTAATGTATATGAATGATATAGTGATTCTTAACATGGTATTAATTAAAGCTTTTGGAATGTATTCGAAACCTAGTGATCCCCAATGCTTGCTTAATTGATGCACAAAAGTGTAATAGGCATTAGGCATGTTGTTTGACTTGTTATTATCATAAATTCATAATACTTCGTCAATTGGAAAGTACATTTCTTTCTAAAATTCCTCTTGGAGAAGATAAGAGCATCTCACCAATACTCCACCGGGTCGTTTGCTTCATGGATTTGAAAAATGAGGGTTTTGGTAAAACTTGGGTTTTGGAAAACCATGGATATATGATGGATTTGGTGGCATTATGGATTTGACCAAGTCTATTGTTTGCTTGTTGGATTTGATTATAGATTTTGTTTGAATAGATTTGTGGATATGAAATTCAAATTACCTTGTTGCCCTTATCTTATCTAATTATATTTCTATATTATAATCCATAAATTTCATTAAAAAAATCCAACGCATACAATGAAATTTTAAACTCTTTACCACTATGTGGACTAATAATTCAACTACAAATATAGAAATGTATTATAGTTTGGCACCAATTAACAACTCATCTAATAATGTACGCAATATTATGTATCAATTGCAACCAATTGCTCGCTTTATTGCTACAACTCATCAACTTCTTGCTAACTCCCCGATTTTGGAATCCGACAATCAATCAAATAATAATGCACAAGACGAGTATAAGATGTTTATAGTTGAATCTAACAAATCACATATATATTCATATTTAAATAAACTATGATATTACAAAACGAAATGAAAAATTCTCATATATATAAAATACGACATTATAACAGTTTATAATTGCATGACCATTGAATTAAAGTAGGACAACTTTGTAATTAAAGTAATAAGTAAGGGTAGAAAGGTAATTTACCATCATGGATTTTAATCCATCACCCAAATCCCACCTCAAGAGGTGGAACTTCCAAGTCCGTGGGGTCCACGGATTTGGAACCCCAAAAGTGGCGGGACCCACAAATTCCATCTCCCTAATTCCCTAAGGCAAACGATGGATTTCCGTTAAAGTCCATGATGGATAGATTTCCATGACCAAATCCATCACCAAAACCCTCAAGCAAACGACCCGCACACGTAATCAGAAATCTTCTCCATTCCATTACTACCCATTTAACGATGCATTGATTTGGTGTCAGCTTATGGACCCTCAAATACATGGAATCATCATGTTTCTATCTTCTATGTGCTCTTCACTATTGCTCGAATGGACTACGAAGCCGTCAATAGAGTCATACATGAGCAAGCGATCAATGTATGACTATGAGTATGATAAACAAATAGAAAAGGCATCAAGGTATAACAGATGACCTCTATGTACAAGCCAAAAAAATCACACAAAAACGAGGAATTTTAAACGATTTACCGGTTAATGGCGCTGTTGGCGAAACAAGAAATTCCCTTATCGAATGCTAGCCGGTTAGTAACCATCGGTTAACCTAGTTGACAAATGACATAATCAACTTGATTCCATACTAGGAATTATAATGACGGTTACACGAAATTCCACTATAAAAAAGACTTAAAATGAAAGAATTTCAATACTACTATGCACGAAACTTCCACATTTTGTACTCGGTCGACACAGGAAGATTGTTTGCAGTAAAATGATGGCAACTAGTAATGGTGACTCCGACATAGTAGAACCATACTCGTCGCCAGTTCGGATTTATATACAAAACACTAGCAATTATCAACAATATCATAACATAAGTCACTCCACTAGTTATATAGAACGTCTCCATATCAACAAAACCTCCTCCATCACCATCGTCATCTCTGTCATAAGACCCCCATGGCCCTGGTAATGGTTCTTCTGGTCGTATAGGGAAAGTGCAGCAAAGGAAAGGATTTCCTCGATAGCTGCTTTCATCAAAAGTAATGAACTGTGCAGTCTGTTTAGGACAGTTACCAGACAAATTGTTGTATGCCACACTGAAAGATGCAAGATAACTTAGCTCGGTGAGTTGAGGCGGAATCACCCCACTGAGATTGTTGTTCGAAAGATCCAAACTCTCGATCTGTTGCAGGTTTGACAGAGTGGAAGGGATCGATCCCGTCAGCTTGTTGTATGATAAGTTGAGCACTTTGATTTCGATGAGGTCGCTACCGATCTGAAGAGGGATCTCCCCAGCAAAACTGTTGCTTGAGAAATCCATGCCACACATCAAGTCAAGGGGCACACCATTATAAGTATACAAATGTGTTTTGCTGACGAATTCAAGACTTCGAGAAGGGGAGATGTAGTTCATTCTATCACCACAACTGGTGTTGGATGTGAATGCAGAGGCAAGGTGACCAGACAGGTGATTATGAGAAACATCAATCAACCTCAACTGCTCCAAGCAAAAAGCCATCATAACTTCACCTGTAAACCGGTTGTTGTTCAACAAGAGATAGGTTAACTGAGGGAATCCTGCAATCCATTTGGGTATGGCACCCTCGAAGTTATTGTGGCTAAGATCCAAGACTTCCAACATATAATTCCCAGGCTCTGCTCCATGTGATGATAAGGTTCCTTGCAGTCGATTTCTCGACAAGTAAACTTCAGATATCCATGGAGAAATGAAACCTAGTGGCAAACTTCCAGTGATATTATTCCTCGACAAGTCGAGGAGGGAGAGCTCGGGCATATCGAAAACTCGTCCTGGAATCTCGCCCGAGAGACGATTGTTACTGGCATCTAGGACTTCTAAAAAGGAGCAGTTTGAGAGTTCTTCAGGGATAATATCAGAGAGCTGATTGTCGGAAATGTATAACAATCCTAACATGGGAAGGAATGCACAAAGATGAGGAGGAATGGGGCCATGGATGTAGTTGTTGCTGGATATATCTAATACTTGTAGTCTTCCATGGGGATGGAGATTGATTGGCAGTTCGAAAGGCCCTGAAAGTGAACAATTGACCAAACTGAGCTCTACCAAGTTAGTGTTGTTATCCAACAACCACCATGGAAACCCAACTCCCTTCATTCTGGTGTTCGATATGAAGACATGTTCTAGGTTACGTTGATGGTAGAGAAAGTTGGGAAATGAGCCAACATATTCACCATCATTGTACCTTGAAGACAAACCCAGTACTTCCAGTTGGAACAGAGGTGGTAGCAATGGTGGTGCACCATGTTGCTGTTGTTTGATATGATGGTCTCCATATATCTCTTGAATGTCATACCCTTCAAAGAACTGGAGGTGGGAATGATTGAAAAATGGGGAGAGGGAGAGCGGGATTCGGAAATCGTTACCAGAAACGTCGATCTTCTCGAGGGAGAAGAGCGTCGTAAGAGGAGACTGGGCGATATCTCCTGACACTCGATTTCCAGAGATATCGAATACTCGAAGTGAAGTAAAATTCGATAGGCACCACGGTAGCTCACCTCTCAAGTTGCTACTCGAGAGGTCTAATACTTCCATATCCTTCAAGTTGCATAAACCTAGATTCATTAATGCAGACACAAAAGAAAATAAATTCCCCAATCTGACTGCAGAGAAAAAAACTTCATAAACATATATAAAATCAGAGTACGTACCTTGAGGAAGAGTCGAATTGAGAGACAAACCATCAATTATTAGACTCTTAAGATTGGTCATCATGGTGCCAATGGTCTCAAGGAAGTTGCCTTGTGCAATAGAATCAGATATGGTCAGATTTTCCAACTTTTCCAACTTGACCAGCCATCCTATTCATGTAAAGATGATGTTCTTATTCAGTCAGTATAATTAATATCCAAAATCACTCAGTATTTCATTGGTATGGTAATGAAGTACATTACCTTGAGAATGTAGGTCAGATCCTGAAAACCCCAAAATTTTAAGAGCAGGAAGTGTTGAAAGGCTTTGAAGCAAAGTGCTGTCTTCAGACATTGAGAAGCCTTGCAATTGTAGTTCCTCCAAATGGGTCATATGAGGAATCCCTATATGATCATATATATTCCACCAATCAATGTGGTCGAATTAGTGTTAATCAATTAGTTGACCTGGGCATACATTAAAATTAATAATACGGGTTAGAACGTCCCTTTACGTTCGTCTAATCGTCTTTCTACACAAAAAAGTGAATTGGCTTACTTTAATTTGAACTAACCTTGAAGTTCTGTAAGACTGCTTGCATCAATAGTAAGAGTCTTCAAGTTTGTAAAGGCATCCAAATCTGTTGCACAAAGATTATCAATCAAGAACAGAAAATGGGCAAAATACTGAATGTTACAAGTTGCAATCACTATAATCTCTCATTGAACAGAAAAAGCTATCTGGTTGATATGGTTGGTACGTACCTTTCAATACAATGTCGTTTCCAGTTAAATCAATTGCCTCCAAATTGATCAAAGCACCTAAGCCTTTACAAATACATTGAAAATGAAGCATTAGAGTTTGAACCATAATATTTTGGATTGTATCCAAGGGGCATGTCTATCTATCGTATACTATATATATCTGATTTCGGATGCATAGTACGTACAACATATCATCGTCATTTGTAAATGGTCAATAATGAGTTTGTAAACCTAGCTAACATCAAACATTTGTTAACGTCCATTTGTCAGGTTCACAAAGATTCATTAAGATTCGCAAACTCATTCATGACATTAACAAATGATTAAGATATATGATGTTAAAGCCGAGATCCACGGTGTACCATAGATGCTGATTGTCCCGTTCAATCCAACTGCAGATAGCGTCAGTGACTTCAAAGACGAGATGCTACTCAAAAGTGATAGAATGCTGTTTCCCAACCTCTTGTTACGGCCTAGATTCAAGTGCTCCAAGTTAGGAAGTTTTAATAATTCTTCCAGGCCTGAGAATCATCAATCAATTTACATGTCGTTCATGACAGAAACACACAAAAAAAAAAAAATAACTCCATGAGAATTGGCCTTTATCCAAGCAAGCTGCAGACTACAATTTACCTGCAACATTAGTTGACAGTTCGTTCTCATAAAGCTCCAGGTGCTTCAACGATACGAGAGTGCTCAAAGGTGACAGAATATCATTGTTGAATCTGTTATGATTCAAATCCAAACGTTCTAAATGAGCAAGTGTCGACAATTTCTCGAATCCTGCATCAACAAACAAATGTCAGATTGATAACTTTCTAACGAACATAGATAAGCAAAGCCATGGTTATTAACCAGAAAAATGAGAAGATCGAAACCTTCATTCTCCATGCACCCAGTCAGGTAACCGTACTCCAGTGAAAGACTTCTCAGTTCTTTGAAAGGCAGGAACACAGAAGCATTCAAGTAGAATTCATCATGACCATCAGGAGAAGTGATATCGTCGAGATCGAGATCAGTAATCCTTCCTGTGGCTGGATTGCAGCTAACTCCTACCCAGTTGCAGCATTCGTCCTCAATGGCCCTTCCTGCCTTTGTGCCCCAGGAATCCAAATTACCAAAGGAGGCCTTGATATGAAGAAGACCAGCTCTCTCGTTATCCAAGCAACCATCACAGCCCTTCCGTTCTGTGATCATCACAAACACCACCATCACCCTTATGAACCCAATCAACCAACAAAAATATGCTGTCTTTTGGGAAACTACCATATTGATCGTAAACTCTCTCTTATGGCTAGCTATAGACTACTTGACAGTCAAGCATATTATCACCTGGGATCTCTATGCATATATAGGCAGGAGAAAGGGTAGGCTTGAAGTCTTGCTGTCTCGTTGATATTATCTTGCTTACAATAAATTTATTATCTTGGTTTATAAACCAATCATAAACTTGAAGTTAATACAGAACCGACCCCCTATATCGAAATTTGTTCTGCAACTAAGAATATTCCCCCTATATCAAGAATCAATTCGTCCCGCTAGAATTATAGGAAGTGGTCCAAATATGAATCTTATATTAGGCATTGCAATTCACATAGGCTAATTAAGTTAACTTCAACTATGATTGGCGTCTACTGCTTTGTAGCTATGCGTTCATCGTTTTCTTCTAAACTTCACATCATTGCTTCCTAGACCTGCAGATAAAAATGAATAAGGTTTTTCCATAGAAAAAAGTTGACTTCACAACTGCGTTGCATTTGGACTTCAATCAGTATTTGTACCTTTTTCAAAAATATCACAATTATACATCATCAATTTTGTTTTTTACTCTTTACTCTGTATGGGAAACATACGAAGTTAAACTATGTAAATATGAAGACTAAAGATAAGCCAAAAGACCCTTCTATTCAAACACCATAAAAAAAAAATGCTAGCTTGTAGTAGCAAACTGGATCAAAATCTATGCTGATCTATTCTCTTGTCCCTTTATGCCTTGTTTGGACTTTATGTTTTGAGAATATGCGGATTTGAGATCAGAATATTACTGAAGGAGTTTATTTTAAGAATTAAGTTTTGAAGTTCGAGCATGGTGAATTTGCTAAGTTTTTAACTTGCCTAGGTTAATGATCGCTTTGAATCTGAACAAGATAAGAGCGAGAAGCATGACAACCTTGTTATATTGCTCTTGGAGATACCCTTTTGCAGTGCATTGCCAGAATGTGCCAGATGGATCCATGTGCTATACCTGCATAAGTGAAATCTTTGGTTATGGTATATGCAGCATATGTCTAACTTTTTTCCTCACTTTTATATGATTTGTGATGCAATTTCAACGACGTGATGATGGGATCATGAAAACTGCTAAAGTGGCTGCTGTGTTGAGAATTGTTCTTCGATACAGTACTGATAGAGAAAGAACTGGACTAACCACATTGACACGTTCTTCAGAAAAGAGACGGGAAGTAAAAAAAAGAACAGCAGAATCCTCATCAATCCAAATCTCTCTCACCCTGAAATCCCTTCTCTCTTGATCCCACCAGAATCCCTTGTTCGCTCCTCATTCTCCCCGCGCCAATTCCGCTATCTAGCCCGCGGCGGCTCCGTCTTTCTTTCTCCGTTCCCAGCTCTCCTCCGATCGCTTCTTCATCTGGCTCTTCTCCGATCGCTTCCTCTTCCCCGATTGTCTGCCCAACATTACGTTGCAGGGACAGGAGAAATCGGAACGAATTAGGGGCTGGGAAATTGGGTAGTCGTCCGTCAGGCAGCTTCCCAAACTTACCTAAGCCTCCGACTGGAATTCACCCCACCGCCGGCGACGAATCGATCCTACTGAACCCATTAAGCAAGAACTTGCGGATTTTATAGTTCTTTTCCATGTCAAAATATCGCCGGTACCTAAATAAATCGACAAAAACTCGTTAAATATCGCGATATCTTTTGGTATCGCGTCAGATTAAAAAAAGGATTGCGTCTGCCGGGAGTCGAACCCGGGTCTATTGCTTGGAAGGCAATTATCCTAACCGTTGGACTACAAACGCTGTTGATATTTTGAATAGCACTATTATTTATTTATTATTTAATAAAATGTATTTATATAAAAAGGATAAGAGATTTCCGTTAAATTCAGTTATCCACCACATCGGCTTTCATGGCCTCTCTTCCCATCACCACCGCCGCGCCAAACCCCGATTCCCCTATATTCAATCTCCGCAAATCTCTCAATTTCAAGCAAACCCTTCTGATCAACCCAACCCAAACCGGCCGCGATGGCTACAATTCTTACTTCCGCGGCATCTCATTCCTCTGCAGGCAGGGCCGAGTCCGGGAAGCCCTGCGCCTACTCAACGACATGGAACTCAAAAGCTACTTCGTAGGACAAGAAGTCTACAGCGAGCTGCTTCAGGGATGCGTTTCGCAGAGGGATCTCTCGACGGGTCGGCAAATCCACGCCAGGATTGTGAAGAACGGGCCCCTGTTCGCGAACAACGAGTACATCGAGACGAAATTGGTGATCTTTTACGCGAAATGCGATCTCCTGGAGGCGGCGGATGGGTTGTTCGGGAGACTGAGGGCGGAGAATGTGTTCTCCTGGGCTGCTATGATTGGGTTGAGGAGCAGGATGGGGAGCAATGTGGAGGCTGTGATGGGTGTTTGTAGGATGATTGAGAGTGGGTTTATGGTTGATAATTTCGTGGTGCCGAATGTGCTGAAGGCCTGTGGGGCTTTGCAGTGGATTGGGGTGGGGAGAGGGGTTCATGGGTTGTCGTTGAAGATGGGATTGAATGCGTGTGTGTTTGTCTGCAGCAGTCTTGTTGATATGTATGGGAAGTGTGGGGTTTTGGAGGATGCGAGGAGGGTGTTCGATGAAATGCATGAGAGAAACGCGGTTACTTGGAACTCGATGATTTTTGGGTATGCGCAGAATGGGTGTAACGAGGAGGCTATCGATATGTTTTTGGAGATGAGATTGGATGATTTTGAGCCGACTGATGTCACTTTGTTGAGCTTGCTCTCGGCTTCGGCTAATGTCGGGGCCGTTGAGGAAGGTAAGCAAGGGCATGGTATTGCGGTGAGTTATGGGTTTGAGTTGGACAAGATCATGGGGAGTTCCATTCTCAACTTCTATACCAAAGTTGGTCTGATTGAGGATGCTGAGTTGGTTTTCAGCAGGATGCTCGAGAGGGACGAGGTGACCTGGAATCTATTGATCTCTGGTTATGTTCGACTTCTCCAAGTTGAAAAGGCACTCGATACGTGCCGCTTGATGAGACTGGAGAACTTGAGATTCGACTCTGTGACTCTCGCTTCCATACTAGCCATTTGTTCTCATACTAAGAACACAATGCTCGGTAAAGAAGCTCACTGTTTTTGTGTTAGAAACAACCTTGATTCTGATGTGGTGGTGGCAAGCAACATTGTGGATATGTATGGAAAATGTGAGAGAATAGGAGATGCACGACGAGTTTTTGACTCTGCAGTCAACACAAATACTGTTTTTTGGAACACAATGTTGACTGCTTATGTAGAGAACGGGAAGATAGGTGAGGCCTTGAGGCTGTTTTATGAGATGCAGCTGGAGAGTGTGCCACAAGATGTCACCGCCTGGAATGCAGTTATTCTGGGATGTGTTAGAAATGGAGATTTGGATGAGGCCAGATACTTGTTCTCAAGAATGCAGTCGGCTGACATCCCTGCGAATTTGACTACTTTGACCAGTCTGGTTTCCGGTCTCCTTCGGAATAGTTCTTGTGATGATTTGGTCCAGAAAATTCAAGAATCTGGGTTAAGATCCAATATTATAAGCATTATTAGCACACTCTGCAATAATGGTATGGATCGAGCATCATTGCAAGACGTGAAAGCAATATATGGATTTGTCTTAAGGCATGACCTGTAGGGAAGAATTTGACGATACACAGATGTAATTTTCAAATGCAGGCATTGCACCTAATGTTTTCCTCATGTGATGAAGGTTCTCTTAAGCATGGACTGCTAAGGCATCTAGTCGAACTTGGAGAAAGAGATGTTTTAAATGCCACCCTAAGCAAGATTCGGGATCGAATTCTGGAATTCATGATTTAGCAGTGTCTTACATCTGAAACTGAATGATTTAGAGCCTCTGCAGCAGTCTCAAACAAACATGCGACAGAAAAGGTGATGACTGATGAAGTGTTGTCTGAAGAGCAAGCTTCAGGCCGTCTGAGTTCGAATTCAGGGAACAACCCAGTGCGGTTCAAACTAAAGGATCCATGGAAGCTCTTGCCGAATATCTTCACAACTCTCATGCATTTGTTTGTATCAGCCACTAGGAATTGACTCTCAAGTCTGCTCTTACTATTTTGAACATTTGTAATCTCTCATGTCCATAGTGAAGATAATGTATATTTGCTGATAATGCCAGCTAATGTCTTGCCTCTTGATATCTCATGGCAAACCTTGAGCACATGATCCCAACATGGAGTTTCCTGTGATCCTTTGTTCACAAGGCACCAGCTAAGAAGGTGGGACAATGGCACACAAGTCATGGGCTGATATGGAGCTTTCATCTTCTGTCTTTTATCAGAAAAGGAAACCTCCCAATTTCAGTAACTACTTTACTGATAATTCTCCAGGTCTGCTCTCTGCTCCTAGTTTCAGCTTTGAGGTAACAGAGTTGGCCATCTGAAAAGCTGAAGCTGCAGGATAGGATTAGGGGCAGAATTGTTGGGGAGGGGCCAAAGGATTGAAAAAAAGGTGGACAAAGAGATATACCCTGTAAGTCAGAAATAGGAGAAAGCAAAAGATGAAATTGAAATACACCCTTTCAGTCAATATAATAATGTCCCCACGTTGTGATGTACTAACTTTGAATGATTTGAGTTCAGCTAATCCAGAAATCATAGTGATACTAGAGGATTAAGATGAGTAAATAATTATGTGTTTCGACAGATGCAATTATGGTTAACAGGGAAAGAGGCTACAGTTTGAGTGTTTGACATTGAACACACTATTCTCTAATGAGCTTTCAAGGCAATGCAAGTAGAGGTGGCAAATGGATTGAATTGGTGGATTGGTGGATTGGATTGGTGGATCCATGGATCAAATGGATTGGATCTAATGGATTGGTGGTTTCATGGATTGGATCAAGTGGATTGGTGGATTATCCATGAATCCAAATGACATCCTCAACCAAGGACCAATATGTAAAATATAAAAAGTTTAGGTACTAAAATGTCACGATGAAAAATTTTAGGTACCAAAACGTAATTTTCCAATGATATTCTTAGGTACCAAAACGTAATTTTCCAATAAAAAATTAAATTTTAGGTACCAAAATGTAAAAAATAAAAATTTTAGGTACTAAACCGTAATTTGCCAATGATCCATGGATCCAATCCATGAATCCACCAATCCAATTGGATTTGGATCAAATGGATTGGATTTAAATGGATTGGATTAGGTGGATATTTTTAATGGATTGATGGATTGGATTGGTGGATTGGATTGAAATTGCCACCTCTAAATGCAAGGTAAGGCAGAGCATCTATATATGGCATTGCTTTGCCTTGTGGTGCATTCTTGATCCACATTTATCATAGTGATTCAGTTGATAATCATGGTGTTTTAAGTTTGATTTATCATATCTAAACTTTGAGTAGAAGGGAATTTAACTTGAAAATGTATGAGAAATTGATCGAATACTAGCTAGTGTAAGGAATTTGGAAAATTTTTTAGCGTAGTGAAATGGTAAGTATCAGCATGGGGCCACTTCATTGAATTGTTCAACCTACGATTTCAGCTGTCGGATTCATGTAGAGATATATTTCCAAAAGCACCACTATATGCATCTAACAATTGAGATTGGAGGGTCGTGCAATCCAATGACAGTGACGCATATGCGGCATATCTAACATATAAACTAGATTCAAGAATTGCTAGACACAAGAAAAATTGTTAGAGATTGGAAAGCTAAGTTAGGTTTAATTGTATGATTGGAAAGTTACATGAGAAAAGGGAACATGTAGGGAGTAAAAGATAGGGATATTATGGAAGGAATTTGCAAGTGGGGACTAGTTGATTACTGGCCAGTTGTTGGGGGAGATGAAGATTATAAAAGGATCATTTTTGCTTAATTGGCACTTAGGCTGGAACAGATTTAACTTTGTTCCTATTCCAAGGCCCACAATCCAATAACTAATGTTCCTAAGTTAGGGCAAATTGAGTTGAGTGAAGTGTGTGTTTGGAGTTTGGATTTGGAGCTTTGCTTGCATCTAATATTTTTTTCTATATAAGGTTGATATAGTATTATTAATATTATGAAAAGTAAAGGGAATTGCAGAGCCAACAAAAGCATATGGAGTCCATCTTGAAAGGCTTGCTTGCAAGTTGCATCTAATATTAGCCATTATTGAATGACTACCTTCTCCAATCATTCTCTCCAACTCCCTTTATTTTTTGTATAGGCCATGAATGATGCTATGGAATGGCATGGCACTGAATGCACTGTGTTCTTAACATGGTTTATGGGATAATTTCAAAATGGTCACTACCACTGGTAGTTTTCTCACGGTTTTTTTTTCGTGTTCATCGTCATTAATCCTCCCTGAACTCCTCTTTCTCTATCACCACTCATCTTGTATCATTAACCAATTCGAAATTTGGAATCTGAAAGGTATTGTGCATGCATTAACAGGGTAAACGATGAGCCAGGCTATCAATACATAAGAAAATCCAAAAAGCGATGTATGCCCCCTAGTAGGATATATATGCTACAAAGTTGTGCTCATGATAGACAATGTCGCATGGATAATGCGACCATCTAGCCAGCTAAAAAAGAAACACATACAATGAATGAAAAAAAATACTAATGTATTCACGGTTTAGAATTTATCGGTCTAAATTAAAGTAATATCTTTGATTACCATACTCGAGTCGTATCAACTCAACTATGATGCTAGTTTCGCATTTGAAACTTAACCTTCATGGGCTTTGATAAAATACCATTCCTCCTCTTCCACCATCAACCAAACCAAAGTTATTAATATCAATTTATTATTTGTGTGTGGAAGTAGCTATTCTTTTGACATTTCTATGTCCTTTCTTTCATTATCTAGCTAGGGTTTTGGACCAGCTTTGGCTTATTGTTCCCCCATGCATTCCAAATGGTTAATTTATTGTGAAAGGGAATAGATGATTGATGACATTGAATTTTTTTTTTTATCGAAACTGTGGGCCAAATTTAGCTTTCATTTTTGCCCTACAGACAGGCAATAAGCAATATGATCATGAAGACACACCCCACCTACAAAACAAATCCCGTATTTAAAGAAGATACATAAAGCAAAAAGGACCATGTTTTGTGACATAACATAGAGAGTGGTGGGTGTGAATTCGTGATTGCGGTATGATATGTCCATCTCGTTTCCCACTACCTTGTGTTTGCAACACTTAAGTTAACATGACTCCGATATAAAAGGACGTTAACTCTAAAGAGGACAATAACAGAGCTTCACGTGCTACTTTTTGGGCAGTTAAGTTGGTAGTCCTCGGAACTGTCCTAAAATATATACAATGAGAACATGGCTCCAATAATCGACAACACTCTTGAAGCAGGGTACCGCCCAACAAAAATCTTCCACTGACCTACAATTCAGTTGTCGGATCACCACTTCGAAATCACCTGCGACAAAGATACACGGTAAAGATACGATGGACCGAAAATTGAGAGTAAACCATGGACATGCATCCTTATTTTGAATCGATTCCATTTTTATCACCTCACGGTATAAATATCAAATAGGGTCTGGGATGTTGAGGTGGTTGGCTAATTCGTGGTTGGGATGTTGAGGTGGTTGGCTAATTCGTGGTTTGATATTGATCCATTCGTAAATAGTTGAACTGTAGTGTGTTGGAACGGAAATACTGAAATGTGGAGATGGCTGGCTAATTCGTGATTTGATGTTGATCCATTCGGAAATACCGCCAATTGCAATGCACATCACATTACATATCGCTAGATAACATTTATAAATTTAGACTCTAAAAAAAAGAAATTCTGATATTACGATTTGTCAATTTTTGCATCATATTCCAACAATTGGTCAATAAATATTTATGGTTAAATTAAATTCCAGCCACTTCATTCATCATGGAACTACCACCGATTCCCATTCACCCCACCGGTAAAAAAAAATTAATCTTTCAAAGTTGACATTTCTGGGAATAGATAAAAAAAAAGTCAGAAACTAACAAATAAAAATATTGGAAACCCCCAAAAGACCCTCCAAAAAATCGATATAAATAAACCCAAACAAAATAAAAATCACTTTAATGGGCCCCACTTTTACTTATGAACACTGTGCACATCTCCTCCCCAAACGACGACGTTTCCTTTCTCTTTTCCCTTAAAAAAAATAAAACAGAACTAACACCGCACTTCACGGCGTAACGGCGCTGGCACTACCAGGAGTTGCCCTGGACTCCGCGGGAGGAGTCTGAGTCTGACCGTCGGAGCCTTTCGACGGATCATCGGAAGACTGCCTCAACCCATCATCCGTCGTCGTCGTCGGCGTCGAGACCTCCCCTCTGTTCACCTCATCAATCATCCTCACGACCTCGGCCATCTCGGGCCGCTGGTCGGGCACCGTGGCCACGCACGCCATTGCAATCTGCAGCAGCTGCACCATCTCCTCCTCAACGTTGTTGTGCCTCATGAGCTCGACGTCGAACACCTCGGCCGTCCACTCCTCCCGGACCACCGACTGGACCCACCGCGGCAGGTCGATCCCCGCGGCCGATTCGTCCCCTGCCCCCAGGGAGGCCTGGTTGGGGGCTTTCCCAGTGAGGAGCTCGAGGAGGAGGACGCCGAAGCTGTAGACGTCGGACTTGAACGTGACTTTCCGGGTCTCGAGGACCTCGGGGGCCCGGTAGCCCGCGACGCGGCTGGGCGGGGCGGTTGTGCCGAAGAGCGGGTTGAGGCCGTAGTCGGAGACAGAGGCCTCGTGGTGGTGAGCGTGGAGGAGGAGGATGTTGGAGGATTTGATGTTGCCGTGGGGTAGTTTGCCTGCAGAGTGGAGGTGGGCGAGGCCTTTGGCTGTGGTTGATGCTATGCTCATTCTGCTGTTCCAGTCCAGTGGCGTCCTGCCTGAGCCTCGACTTCCTGCAAAATGGTGGAGGGGGGAAAAGGAAAACCACAATGCCAAATGGACTAGAAATTAAACCCAGTTTCCTGATGGTAATGAGGTTGGATCAAACCCAGTGAAATTGACAGTAAAGTTGGTAGCTTTTTAAGTGAAAGAATGGAAAGATTTTTCTGCAAATATGCAAGAATTGAAGCAAATGTAATGATCCCATCAACCACAAAAGTCAGTGATAATGGTTGGTGAATCATTTACAAGCCCTACCAAACAACTACTTTCCATCACTAACATTGGACTGGATTTGAATTTACAGTATACACTACAGTCCCCAACTTTCTGAAGTGAAGGTATCTTCCCAAGTAAAGGGAAAGCCCATTTGTTTAAAGCATATATGAATGAACGGAGGGAGGGAGGGAGGATCCAAAGTTCGAACTTCGAACTAGTGCAGAAGAGGACAGTAAGCACGGTTTTCCTAGGTTAAAAAAAATGGTCAAAAGAACAGGCCACGTTCATCGGCGAAGAGAACAAGAAACTTGCACTCATAAAGAAGAAAGTCCAAATCATGAGCCTTCAATGGCGTATCAGAAAGCCAAGAGGGCACAACAAAAAGGGAACTAAAACAAATAATCAAATCATCCTAACGCGTATACCTCACTCTAAGAATGTTTTCTTGTTTCCTAATCACTAGTCTCATGAACCCTAATTTATTTTCAAATGGATACATTTAATTATCACAGCCCTAATAATGTCCATTGTCAACCAACATTCCAGCTTAATGGTCCCTCTTTTCTAAAATATATAAATAAATTCCACTACAACATGCGAACAAATTCATCATCCACGTTAGCCTAATGACGATAATTATAATTAATCCGGGGAACAAATTCTGACGACAGCAAGAGTCTAAACATGGTTAAACACTTAATTACCAACCTACAGAACGATAATTATGTTGTTTTCTTTTTACAGTTATATGTATGATTATCGCCTCGTTGATTGATAATTAGGTGTATTCTACCGTGTGTAGACTACTGCTGAAGTTAGAATTTGCTTCTTAATTAATTACAATACATTAATACTAACGTAATGAATAGTTAAATATTAAGTAATAAATCGATAATAACCCCTAATGGGATAATTAATTACTTATTTCTCTGGTCAAACTGGAAAACCCCAACCTAAATAGGACACAATTAGGTGGGGAATCATTTATCAGTTTATCACCCACCGAAAATAAATATCTACATGGAATTAGAATCCTTTTTTTTACCCGAAATTAAATTAATTTTGTAAATAGAAAATTTGGGGGGGGGGGGGGGGGGAACCGTACCGTGGAGGAGCGCCGACAAGCTGCCGGCGGCCACGTACTCGGAGACGAGCAGCTTCTCGTCTCTGGAGAAGTAGAAAGCCCTGAACGGAACCACATTGTCGTGCCTAACTTTCCCCAGAACCTCCATTTGCATCTCGAATTCCTTCTTCGTAACCACCACGTCTTTCAGCCGCTTGACGACGACGGTGGTGCCGTCTTCCAGCACGGCCTTGTACGAAGTGCCGACGCTGCCCTTCCCGAGGACCTCCGCCGAAGCTCTCAGCAGATCCTCGAGGTCGAAGCTGTAGACTCCTCCGTCGAAGAACACCAGCTTGTTCCTCTCGGCGTCGGCCGACCCGCCGGTGATGTCGTCTTTGGACGAGGAGGTCCCGGCGGCGTCGACGGGAACGGACCGGGCGGCGGCTCCGGGGACCGGCTTCGGCGGTTTGGGGGACTGTTGTTGTTGTTGTTGTCTCTGCTTCCTGCGGAGGCAGCAGAAGAGTAGGAGGAGGAGGATTAGGAGGGCGAGGACTGCGCCGACGGAGATTAGAACGATGGCGGCGGTGGAGAGTTTTTTCGATTTCTTGTGGATTGGTTGAATTGTGGAAGGGGATGGGCTGGGGGGAGGGAAGAAGGGGTTGCAGGGAGGTAACGGCCCGCCGCAGAGACCTAGATTCCCGGCGAATGCCGCGGCGGAGAAACGCTGCAAATTTCTAGGGATTGAGCCGTTGAGCCTGTTGTTGGAGGCGTTGAAATCGACCAAATTGGCTGAGATGGAAGGGAGAGGGCCGGAGAATGCGTTGTTCTCGAGGAACAGGCCGGTCAGGCGGGTCCAATTGTTGACGGCGAACGGAATCGGGCCGGTGAAGTTGTTGGACGAGAGGTCGAGCCGGGCGAGCCGGGCTAGCGGAGTGACTCCCGCGGGGAAACCGCCGGAGAAGGCGTTGTTTTGAAGGTAGAGGCTGCGGAGGAGGGTGAGGTTGGAGAAATCGGACGGGATCTCGCCGGAGAGGCGGTTGGAGCGGAGGCTGAGGACTCTGAGCTGCGAGAGCCTGCCCAGGGTTTCCGGCGGAATGGGACCCACCAGGCCGGCGCCGGGGAGGCGGAGGGAGTGGACGGAGGACCGGTCCGCGTCGCACTCGATTCCGACCCAGCTGCAGACGGAGGAATTGTTGTTGGAGCTCCATTGGAGACGATTCTCGTGTGGGACCTGTGAGAGAAAAGAGAGGAGCGCTTGCTTCTCCTCCTCCGGCGGCTCCGCCGTCACACTCGCCACCAGCAGCGATGCTAAAAGAAGCCACGCGAGAAGCGTCGAACCAGAATCGAAACCCCCCGCCATTGATGCGCCAAGATGGAGAAACGGAAGGAAGGGGCGATTCCAAAGAAAAAAAAATGTAAGATCAACGGGAGCTGAGCTGAAGCCTGAGTTAGCTATCAAACCAGCGGGTGACCCTGCCGGCGGTTACTATCGAGAGGAAAGACAGTTCCCCGGAGAGATTCCATTAGCGAGAGGGGATTGGAGTGTTGGCACGATAAAAGGGAGGGGAGAGAGAGGTGAAGAAGAAGAAGGAATCACGAGGAGAAGAAGCTAAAACGTAAAAAATAATAATAATAATTGAATAATTATATATCGATAAGTAAATAAAGATGGGAAAAGCCTAGCTGGCAGTAGTCATAACGCCTTCACCTTTTCCTTTTTCTTTCTGTATATTTTATTTCTTCTCCTTAATAGTCCAAAAAACAAGGGTAAAGGGTCAGCATTGCATTAGATTCTTCATTCTTGCCAGAAAATAGAAGATTTATCACTATATATACTGTCAATTTACCACGGTCAACGATAATTATAGAGAGATTAAGACGGAAAGAGAGTTTATCAACAAAATTAAGACTGTAAAGGTTCAATAATATATTTTCTTCACTAATATGGTATGACCGTGGCTAATTTTGATGTGTGAGAAATAACTAGAGGTAGAGGTGGCAAATGAATTGGTCCATGGATTGGTGGATCGAATTGGTGAATCAATCACTAATATGGTATGACCGTGGCTAATTTTGATGTGTGAGAAATAACAAGAGGTAGAGGTGGCAAATGAATTGGATCCAATGGATTGGTGGATTCATGGATTGGTGGATTATTAACCATGAATCCAAATGACTTCCTCAACCAAGTGTCAATATGTAAAATGTGAAAAGTTTAGGTACTAAAATGTCATAATGAAACATTTTAGGTACCAAAACGTAATTTTCCAATGATATTTTTCGTATAAAAAAATAAATTTTAGGTACCAAAATGTAAAATATGAAAATTATGGATACCAAACCGTAATTTGCCATTTGGATCCATGGATTGATCCATGAATCCACCAATCCAATTGGAATTGGATCAAATGGATTGGATTAGGTGGATATTTTTAATGGATTGGTGGATTGGATTGAGAATTGCCACCTCTACAAGGAGGTGAATAAATGACTCAATTGAGGTATGTTGGGGGCGTATTTCTCTTTTTAAATAGTCTTTGCCCGGAGCGGGGTTGATGGCGTGTTCACTTATTGTGCGGATGAAATCGTTTAAATTTTGGACTCAATTAGGTTGATAAAAGTCCGATAAAATTGAAATTAGGTTGATAAATGAGGAAAAAAACACGTTGATGGCTCTTGTGAATTAAGGATGACAGAAATTCGAGTACCCAATACGAACTCTAACTCATACAAGTTGGATTGGATATGCATATTCTTAATAGTGGGTATGATCAAATTCAATAGGTCTGTTTTTTGGTCCCGTCGTATTGAGCGGCGGATCTAGGGGGCCGCCTCCGGGCCACGGCCTAGCCCTCTCTCGATCCGGAGCTAGTATAGCACTTGTAAATTTTTGATTTTGGGTGTTCGTTTCACTGTTCGTCGTGTTACGGCCCAGCTTTCTCTGCCTTTTTCCAATGTGGCCCAGTGCTCTACCCAATCCTGTATCCGCCGCTGGTCGTATTTTACATCCATGAGAACATAAGTATTCATTTCGGTCATTGATATGACTCCGATATTTGCTAAATCGATGTGCTTAATTTGACTCCAAGCAGGTTGCCCGATACAACCCATGTATGGATTAAAAGACATTATAATGGTAACTAAACATTTATGGTGTTGTTAATTGTGACTCTATAGTCTATAGTCTATCTATACCATGAATATGATATTTTAAATGGTAAACTCGGATTAGGAGTGCAAGCAAACTAGACATTGGACAAATTATGGAAAATGCACGGCGAGAGGCAAACTAAATGATGTGTGAAAATTATTGAAAAGGTCATATGTAGCACCAGGAAATAAGGGCAAGTTTCCTTAATTTCGTGACTCACTCACTGCAAATTCCTTGGGGAAATCATCCTTGTGTATATGGGAAATGGAATAGTATCTTTACTTCACTCAAGCGCCATAACTTAAGCTGGTAATTAAACAATATGCATAAGCAGTCTTCCGGGCATGTTCTTGCATTTGAAATTAAGATTCCTTGTGGGCTTTTGTCTTAATTGCTTCTTATTTTGGTTAGTTACCTTTTTGGTTTCCTTCTCAATGATTTTTGTATTCCTTATATTTCATGTGTCATGTGGATTTCAAAACCAAACAACACAGCATTTTGTTGCCAATAGTTTTGCACTTGATATAACATGACTATCAGAGTATGAAGGGAGGCATTTGGCTTTGTCAATAGTCGCTAAAACATAACCATAATAGCCCTCTAGGAGTTGGAGCATCCAAAAAATATAAAGGGTCTTGCACCATCATAGCCACCAGAACAAATAAACCGTCGCTAAAACAACCATCTACAAGTAATTTGGAGCACCCCATAAATTCAACAGCTCCCATTCTCAACGGTTCTTCAACTCAAGGCAAGCTTTTCATCACCTCAGTCGTCTGACAGATCCTTGTTGGATCGATAGTGGTCAAAGCACACACTTCATTCCTTCATCACTCATGGGGTTTTGTCGAGTTCAGCATAGTGATGATATCTTTGGGTGGGAGAAGATTACTGTGTAATGGTCGGACTTCGACATGATCCCCGACGAGTTTGCTTCTTCCACAATCTCATTGTAAAACGCATGGATAAAGAATCGACGGTCCCGATTAGACTTTTCGACGTAGCAATCATCATGCACAACTGGAGTATCATTTTAAAGTCCTCGTAGCATCAGACTTGGATCGCTCCATCACTTTTCATGTACTTCTATTTTTTATTCCTTGCGTCGTCTCGGGAGGTAGAGGTGGGCATTGGTTCGGTTCGGTTCAAAACGAACCGAACAAGAGCATATCGGTACCTCAAAATCATGCAAAGCTGAAACCGATTTCGAACCGAAAAATCGTTCCTCCGATCTTCTCTCCCCTCTCGGCTCTCGCTACTTCTTCTCATAGACCAGTGACCACCCACTACCCTAATTAATTACCACACAAAAATTCAAACTCTGCTCCTCTCTCACTCCCTCCCATTCCTTCCTCCCTCTCCCATGGCAACATCAGAAATTGTGCTACAAAGTCGCCGACCGCAATCCCAGAGGAAGCATCACTGCCCGGCGAGCCCCTTCGTCCTCCCTCCGCCACCGCATCGCGCTGAGTCCCTCCGCCGCCACCGGGTCGCGCTCAGATCCCTCCGCCACTGGGTCACGCTCAGTCCCTTCGTCGCCAAGGCCTCGCACACTATGCACATGTCCCTCCGCCACAAGTCGCCCTCATACTCCGCGGCCATTCCACTCACCGTGGCTTACATCTGGTTGTCGCCTTTCTGAAATCAAGCTTCTGTGCACAACAAGAGACGACGCCATATTCGAGCTTATTTCAATGGGATCTGACTGCTCACCTCCCCATTTCTTTTGTTTTTGGTAAAAGATTTCCCCATTCCTTTGCCACCAAAAGAAATCCATATCTGTAACAGTCGTTTGTGATTAATATGAAAAGCATCAAGGTTCTGATAAAAAAAAAAGAAACCCATATCTGACTTCCCACCATTGATTTTGGTTGGCGGTGGAAGAGTAGTAAATCCTGGGTAAGATCCAGTACCGAGGGGTTACTCTTTCTCTTTTTCGGTTGCTCGGTTCAGAGTTCGAAATCTCAGTTCGATCGAGATGACTTTGGTTTTCGAATTACACCAAATTTTTCTGAATTTCGAACCAAACACCATTATTTCGGTTTCGGTTCGGATCAGTTCTGTTTGAATTTACCGAACCGGATGCCCACCCCTACCCGAAGGACACTAAACTAAAGTAAATCAAATTTTAATTCACACCAATATCTCACAATTATCTCTTTGTACACATATAATATATGTATCAATAGATCATTTACAAGATTTTCGAAACTAGCACAAAATAATCCTAGTTCGTTTAGATTGAATATTTCTTATCAGCAAAGCCAAATGACTCCCTTTATACTCACATAGTCATGCTCTATCAAGTGTAAAATTATTGACAAAGAAATGCATGTTGTTTGGTTTTGAAATTTGCATGACACATGAATGATGAAACACAAGAAATACAAATATCATTGAAAAGGAAACCATAAGGGCAACGAATGGGAAATTGTTATTGGGTCGGCGAGTAGAAGAGCAAAACCTGGGCCCTTAATGGGTTGTGAATATTTGTGGGCTAATCGTGTTAGGTACAATAGTCTCCTTCTTCCATTTTGGATCCTCTAGAGGATTCAACGGTTACGGATTCAAGGGACATATTTATTTACTCTATTGGGCTTACATTTTCTTTATCTACGGAGGGTCAGAGCCCATCATAGCCATCAATCAAAGCATACTTGATAGCATTTTGCCTAATTGGGCCGGGATTTGTAAGCCCAAAATAATTTGAGCTGGCAGCTGCCGCACGTTTTCCGTATGGGTATTTAAGGTGGTTGGTCCTTGTTAGATAGGCCAACAACATTATGAGGTGCTACTAAGTGCTAATTAACTTGAAATGTTTTGCAATCAAAATCCTGAAAACACAAGGGAGCAACAATAATCTACTTCGAGGGTTAATCCATCCTTTTGCATCGGTACAATCAAGATAAATACATAATTCTTACGTTCTCGGATCACAGAGGAAATACAGACATGAACATGATTACATCCCATGATAACAGTTGTTGTTGGTTTGTTGAGATATGTGCGAATCACAACCGTTACAATTGAAAGCAAGGGGGAAGAAAATGTCGCGATCATCGAAATTCAACACCTCAATTTGATACAACAATTTTGATAACTCGAGTAGGAACCGGGAACAAACAATGATACTAAACATGACCTAAAATTAAGTAGTTTTAAGTGTAAACCTATGTTTGCTCATTTTCCAGCTCCTAGAGACCCCAAATTTCTAAGGAGGAACCGTGACACTAGGAAGAAGAAGAAGAAGCAAAAACAGAAACAAAGAAAAATGAACCAACCTTACGTAGCAACAAAGAAATTGTTCGACGACCCAAGGCTACGAGATGGAGACAGATTTCACCACTATCAGAAAATCCAACAACCCACCAATCACAGGCCCTTCTTCCTCATCCTCCTCTGGCCGACATGGCGCCGGCTTCGCCAAATTAGTTAGCGCAACATCTGGATGAGAAGAAG